ATTTTGATGTAATATTTATTTTATTACAATGTATAAAATAAAATAAAATTATTTTTAGTGCATTTTATATATATACATATAAATTTTGATGTACCTATAATGGCTTTCAAAATTATCGTGGGTCCTAATTTATACTATGCACCCCCGGAACCAAATGTCTGCGCACGCCTATGGGTACTTAAATCTCTATTGTACTAAATATTATMATTTTTGTCGTATCAAATATTAATATAAATAATAATATGACAATTGACAGGTACTGAGGACTGAGGTATCAATTATAAATAAATATAATATTACCTAATAACAAAAATAATACGAGTTTCTTATCAAGAGGGTGGCGATTGCAGGCCGCAGGAAACTTGAAAGCGTAAAGTTTATCGATAGATAGACACCTACGTCAGTATAATATATATTTAGGAGGTATTAAGTAGATACCTGCTACTATTACAAAGACTGTCGACMGATTTAGCTAGATTTAGCATATTTTATTGCACGGAAAAAGTTATATCTTAAAAATCAAAATTAAGCTAAACGGCACCTTGTTRCGGTACTGCGTTAGCTTTTAAATTTAAAATCGTGGGTCTCGGAYATCGATGTTTCAGGACTCCAATTGTAGCGGAATCGTTTTTTAGGGGTCGCGGTGACTACCGAGTACCGAGAGGGCGTGTCGTATGGTAACGGCGGCGTTTTCTATGCGATAATAATATCAATATTATAAATTATAGCATAATATATTAATTAAAAAACATAATAGGTATTGGGTAATTATTATATTATTATATGTGAGTCATACGGATAATTATTGTCAATAATTGTCAATATTTATCGCTCAATGCTTAAAAATTAAGAAGCGACGTCGATACCACGAAAGCGCAACGACTAGCTTAGCAACGGGGTGAGTCATAAATCATAGTATTCGCATCCCCACCTCTGCCCAGCCCTGACGACCGACAAGCGTGCATCGGGCGCCGGTCTCAGACAGTCAGACTCAGACAATCGCTAGTCGCCAGGCAGTACCACAATATCGCGGTCGGCACTTCGGCAGTCCGCTATTCGTTAGTGACAAGTGTATTTTCAGCGACCGGTGGCACGCCAGTCGTGTTTGTGCCACCTTCTCGACAGTTATATCGAATCGCCGGCTGGTGTATTCCGTACATACAACTCCTAGAACTCGTCCGTTGAAAAAATGCCGAACATAATCAATGAGGTGAAGTTAGACTTCAAAGATGTGCTTCTCAGGCCGAAAAGGAGCACGCTGAAGACCCGGGCTCAAGTGAGTGGTGCACACAAAATCCCTATACAAAAAATAGAAAAAAAATTTGGTAAAAAATGGTGAAATTTGATTTTCTGTTGTAGGTAGACTTGTTCCGA